TGGGTGAGCATGGGTTCTGGTCGGGTGTGATGATGTGTATGTTGGACATACTTGTTAATACACCCTTGTGCACGTATTGTAGATGTGCATGGATGTATGCACACGTGTAGGCATCATTTTCCCCTGCAGCCAGCACTGCCCCAGGGACTGGGTGCTTGTGGTGTCTGGGGGCTTCCCGAGTTGGGTGGGAGGAAGGCAGGGGGATGTCTCTGTCCCTAATGGTTCCTTCTCTCCCCAGGAGAACTCGGATGTCTTCCTCTCCACTGTCGACACCGACTGGAAGGTAGGAGTGGCCACGGGGGGTGCCCCTGGGTCCCACGTGGGACAGCAGCCTGCGGCTGGGGAAAGCTGCAGGGTGCTGAGCAGACCTAAAGTTGTGGTTGTCCCCCTCCTCCATGGGTTCGCAGTGCCTGGTTGGTGTCTATGCATGGGGCTGCACGTCCATTGCAGTCCCTGGCAGGGGGGGACAGGGAGGATGCTGCCAGGCATGCCCTGTGCTGGCACTCAGATGTGGCTGGCGGGCACTTGGCAACAGGCCGGGGACAAAACCTCTTTAAACAGGGAATTTCTTCTCAGGAGGGCTGAGCATTTCCAGCCTCTCTACCATTGCCATGGCAATGGTTTCCCAGGCAATGCCAGCTCCTTGCTTACACAAGGATGTTTGAAAGCCTCTTTCTTTTTTGGAGGGCTGTGGCATTGCCCCCTGTACCACCCACCTCTCTTGGAGAGCAGGGCCCCTCAGCTTTCCTGGCTGGCACCTACCTGCCTTGTATCTCAAGTTCCACCTCTCCAGAGGAGCCCTGCAGAATCATAGAATCACAGAATGGTGAGAGTTGGAAGGGACCTTAAAAATCATCGAGTTCCAACCCCCCTGCCCTGGGCAGGGACACCTCCCACCAGACCAGGTTGCTCAAAGTCCTGTCCAACCTGGCCTTGAACCCCTCCAGGGATGGGGCAGCCACAGCTTCCCTGGGCAGCCTGTTCCAGTGCATGAACATCCTCACAGTAAAGAACTTCTTCCTGATATCTAACCTAAGTCTGCCCTCTTCCAGTTTGAAGCCGTTACCCCTCACTGCATGCCCTTGTCAAAAGTCCCTCTCCAGCTTTCTTGTAGGACCCCTTCAGATCCTGGAAGGCTGCTATAAGCTGTCCCCTGAGCCTTCTCCAGGGTGATAACCCCAATTCTGTCAGCCTTTCCTCACAGCAGAGGTGCTCCAGCCCTCAGAGCATCTTCGTGACCTCCTCTGGACTCGCTCCAACAGTCCACATCCTTCTTATTTTGGGGGGCCTCAAGAGCTGAACCCAAGGACTCCAGGTGGGGTCTTACCATGATGTGACCTCAAGGCTTGCAGGGGCTTAGCTCATGCCTGACTCCGGGGTGGTCTTCATTGCTCTCACACCTCTGCCCAAGCTCATCCCATACCAGGCTTGCTCTGCAGAGACCAGGGTGCTGGTAGATGGGCAGGGAGGGTAGTGGGGCTGCCGGACACCTCCCCAGGTACACCAGTGACTGACTTCGGGTTTTATGTTGCTGCTTTGCCAGTGGCTGAGACCACCAGGAGGGTGGGCTTGGGTGGTGCTGGCTGAGCCCTGCCAGGTTCAGCACTGAAACAGGAGCACCTTCAAGGATAAAATGAATCTGGATTTCACTCATCCTGGAAGAGGGGCAGGGAAGCCCAGGTCCCCATTTTGGCAGACCCAAAGTCGTGCCCAGGCTTTTGAGTCTGGACCACTTGGTCTCCATCACTCACATGTGCAAGTGACAGGAGCAGCTGGGTGGGGAACAAGGACTTCTGTCAGGACGCTGGGCAGTGGCTGCTCTGGTTCACAGGATAGGAGATTTTTAGTGGGCCTCTTGGAGGCCACAAAATTACTCAAATATGGCAGTGGAGAAAAAGAAATTCTGCCCTTCCCAGCAGCTCCAAAGCTGGCGAGGTGCTGGGCCCAGGAGCAGCAGGGTGTGCGGGTCAGGGCTGCTCCTTGCTTGGCTTGTTCAGGGTCTCTGTTGAGCACTGGAGGGAAAATCAAACCTCCTGGTGTCACCAAGGTGAGGGTAAGGAGGGAGAGGGAGGCAAAGAGGGAGGCAGCAGTGCGGGGCTGCCTGGAGCTCCCGGTAGGGCTTTCACTCAGCTCCGCTGGAACAGGGCTTTGATGGCATACGGGAGATGTTAAAGAGCATTGACTCACCCAAGACAATCTTTGCATACCAGTATTGCAGGGACTGGCCTATGGTGACGCTGAACCACGTCACTGGTGGGCACCAAGTGGAGTGCAAGCCCTTGGTGCCTAAAATAATCAACTGAGCAAAAATCAAGGCCGCTTTTTCCAAACCAGCTAGGTCCTGCGCCCTCTTGATTCCCCTCCAAGACCCTCAGGATGGGGATGGGATGAACTTCCCAGGCTGTGCCGGGGCAACCCCCTCCTTTCCCTGACCCTGGCACTTCACAGGTTGGTTCCCTGCCAAGGTTGGGGGCTGCCTGCCCTTCCTCGGAGAGCTCTTACCCCATTTTCTTGGCTCACCTCCTTGGGTAATTCAGTCCAGCCCCAAGCTTAGCTCTTCACTGTCCCTCTGCTCCTCCCCAGAGCCAGTCACTGCTCCCTCACTGAGGTGCTTTGGCCTGGCCGGGGCAGCAGGGAGGAGGGGGAAACCCTCACTCTCGCCACCAGCCAAAATAAAGCTGCTGGGGCTGCTGGAATAAGCCAGGGTGCAGGAATGCCAGGGTGCAGATGCTTCTGCCCTGGGACCTGGGCGCCCTGGCCCTGCTGGACATCTGGGTCACCTGCCAAGCAGATGGGCTCGTAGCCAATGGGTGATGCCATTCGATGTTATTCAGCATTGCTAAGCCCTCCCATCTCCCTGCCACCCTTTTCCATTCATGCCTTGCTTCACCTCAGCTTTTCCACTCCTTCTCTCCTCTATTTTGCCACGTTCTGTCTTTTTTCACCTGCTCATGCCCTTCTGCATCATGCTTTTTCCCAGAGGCTGTGGCTTCTCGCCCACTTGACCCCACAGGTAGCAGGACTGAAGGCGGCAAAAATGGCACCTGGAGCTGCCAACGGCTTTGTACCTTTGTGCAAGGAACCACCTGGGAGTTGGGCTGCCCCTCGCACCATCCTTCCTTAGCAGAGATGCATCTCTCCAGGCTTGGGGCTGAACTCCCTGCAGGACAAAGCAGTGCATAGGAAAGCCTCTTTGGTGGAGGCAAGGTGGATGCTGTCCTCCTGCCTGTCTCTCTGTCCATCCTTTCTCCCACATCCAAACTGCCTGGCTGCCCAGCCCTGGCTTGTTTGCAGGACACTGCTTTCAGTGGCTCTCCACCAGCTCTGGATGATCCTTTGTCCATGTCAGGGAAAGGGCTGTCCCCAGGGAAAATTGGCTCATCCCTGTTATGAGACATCAGAGACTCCACAGGAAGAAGCCTGCTGGGTCAAGCCAAGAACACAGGGCTTTGCCATGTGGGAAAGCCTGTGCATGTGCTGGTGATGGCAGCTGGACACCCTGTGCCCATGGGTGCAGTGCATGCCAGGGCATGGTGTAAGCAAACCATGGCGAGCTGCTGGGGTGAGGATGATGCAGAAGTGATGGAGGCTCCAGCTGGCACAGAGCATCCCTGTGCTGGGCAGGGGGGCCAGATCTATCCCCTCTGGATGCCCTGGTCGGACACTGGCACATGGCTCTCCAGACCCTTTGGGCAGGCACTAGAGGGACCGTGGGATTCTTTCTCCATCCATCCATCTCCACCCAGCTTTGTGCTGGAGGGGCTCAGGTGCTGATTGTGCCAAGCCAGGCAGTGGTGCAAGCAGGGTACAGGGGCAAGTAGGGTGCAGGGGGATGGCACCCAGAGCCTGGGGTTTCAGGGCCATCTGTGGGTGTGAGCTGCAGGCAGTCAGACTCACCCTCTTACGAAGCCTGTTGTAATCAGGGCAGAAACCATCTGCCTGCCTGCATGTCCCACAGGAATACACACAGCATGCATCAGCCCAGGGGCAGGATCCCAATTCCTCAGCGCTGCTGGGTTGTCTTTCCTCCTGCTTTATTTATTTACCTGCCACTGATGACATCCAGGTCGGGGCTAAATCCTGCATATCCTCTGCCTGCCAGCATCCCGCAGCAGGCAGGATGACTGTGTTACTGGGTAAGGTAACACAGGTGTCTGGGCAATGGTCATGTGTGTACAAGCTTGTTTGTCTCCAGACACATGTGCACAAGGTTCTGTGTTGTGCATCCATGCACATGAATGATGGCTATGGCACACACACTAAGCACATGGGAGAAGGATGCAGCAGACATGCTCCTTATACACACGTGACCATGCCCATACATGTACTGTGCAGACACACGGTACCAGCTCTGCAGGGGTATGTGCAAGCATCTTGTGGGGTGCATGTTCTTCAGCGTGGGTCATTGTATTTATTTTTTCCAAAGTTTCCATGCAAAGGCATGCGGGAGGGACATAGTTTTGCCTGGCTGCTATGTGTCTGTATTGGTACGTGTTCCTGTGCATGTATGTGCGTGGTCACATGCATATGCAGAGCATGCCTGCTGTGTCTTTCTCCTGTGTGTTTAGTATGCACTCACGTCCATTCATGGGTGTGTGTGTGCTTCCTGCTGCATGTGAGCTGCTGCAGGGCTTTGGCCTGGGCAGCTGCAGGCTTGAGCATGATTCTGCAGGTTTGCCTGGGGCTGGAGCCATGTGTGTGCATGATGGGTGCAGGAGACGTGGTGGGGCTCTGCTGTGATGATGCTGTGTGTGTTGCAAGAGTGCAACCCTGTCCAGGCAGCCCCGCCTGTCTCGCTCTGCCGAAAGAAGGAAGATGGAGCAGGTACCACATGGTGCCAGGCATTTTTTCTTCATAAACAAGGGTATTTGGGGCCAATTGGAGCATGAATAATTCCCACGGCAGCCAATGGCTGAGTACTGGCTCCATCGCAATGCCTGTCTGCAAAGGAGGCCAAACCTGCTGGGGCTGCGTGTTGCGTTGAGGGGGAAGGGAGAGGCAGGGCTTAGCGCAGGGCTGGGGCTCCGCTATAAATCGAGGCAAGGGGCTGAGCCAGCGCAGAGCTCTGCTTCACCGCTGCAGCGCTGTGCCCCACGCCGGACCCCTCGCTCGGCCCACCCTGCCCGCGCATCCTCGTCCACCCGGTTCCTCACCATGCCTGAGTGCTGGGATGGGGTAGGTACCACCGGTCCCGTATTCGCTACCCTCCCTTCCCAGGGAGTTTTGCCCCAGTATTTCTCCTGCTCACGCAAGGGGGGACCTTTGCACCCGGGAGGGCTCGGTGTGGGTCAGGCAGGTGTTGGGGGTGGGGGGGACCTGCTGCTTGGGAGCCCTTTCTTCCCCCAGCCCTGCTGCCACATCCCTGACCGGCCGCGTTGCTGACCTGCCGCAGGTTTTGGGGACGCATTGTCCTTGAGCGTGTCCTCCCCGAGCCCGGCAGAGATGCTGCGCTGAGTCTGAGGGTGAGCGAGCGCAGCTGCAGCAGCTGGGTCTGACTGCTGATGGCTGGGGGTGGGGGACAGAGAGGGCACTGCTGCCCCTTCCCCACCCCCAGAGTGGCAGAGGGAGAGGGTCTCTTGCCGTTTTGCATCAATCCCTCGGATGCTTTCTGGCCTCTGCAGTGATGGCAACAGTCTGGCGCGGAGGCGGGGGTGAGCATGGTGGAAGCACTGCAGTGGTGAGGGTAACCTGGCAGGGCTGGGGCCGCAGGGTATCAGTGTGTCCCCCCCGAGCCGTGCCCCCCCACCCCCCGCATCCATCACTGCCTGCATCCCCTGCATCCCCAGCCTCTGCCCTCCAGCAAACTTCCCTGCAGCAAAGGGCAGAGCTGTGGTACCCAGTGATGCTGCAGAGGCTGCACCACAGGCGGGGATGTGCCTGGCTTGGCAGGGGGTGGGGAAAAGTGCTGGGGAAGGAGCTCCCACCTTGGGCATGTGATTTTGGGGTGGGATTGCAGGCTGAGCTGTTGGGACTGTGATGGCAACCACGGGCATGGGGATGGCAAGGAGACATCAGATCACATGGATGGCTCCTGCTTTGTGACCTTGGGCCAAGCCAGGACTCAACCAGGCTCTGTCTCAGATTCTCCATCCGTCGTTGCGGGGCGATGTCCCTGCTCATCACCTGCTGCCTGATACAACCCCAGGGAGTGGAAGGACAGCTGGGGCCAAGGTGCCCTTGGGGAGCTTAGCGTTTCTCCACAGAGCCCTTGAGCTGCTCTTGGGCACTGTGTCCCCTGGAGACAGCAGATCTCGGTGAGGGGGAGGCACTTCAGTGAGGAGACTGTCTTCAGGTGGTTCCTCCCATATGAGGTCCATGTGTCCTTCAGAGTCCTTGGAGGCATGTAACCTGAGGGAGCATCCACATACCCACTCCCTTCCCACCATCCTTGGGGGTGCCAGTGCCTGCAGCAAGGACCGCGCCGGTTGGGCACCCTGCCAGCATCCACTGCCTGGCCCTGCTCGGCACGTGATGCTCCTGCACCCTCCAGATCCCGGCTTCGATGTCACTGCCAGTGGGCTGACTAGCAGGCATGGACATCTGGAGGGGACCCCTGGTCCCTTGTCTGCAGGCAATGCCTTGGCCAGCACCTGGGCTCACAGCCTCAGTTTCCCTTGCTGGCTGGGGACGATGGCCATGAAGGTGAGGCTGGAGCACTCCCAGCCAGGGAAACCGAGGCACGGGGCAGTCCTGGTCTCTGGATGGGGGGCACAGCCACTTCAGACCAAGGGATTTGAAATTTATTTTAGCTTTCAATTTGGAATAAGACTGCAACATTTCCTGGTGTGGTGTCTGGGGTCTGACCTCTGCCTGTTTGTCCCAGGCACAGTGAATCCAGGCCAACTAGATCATGTTGTGATCCCCAACCTGTTGCCAAAAATCCCCTCAGGCTCAGGCCTTGTAAGATTTCCTGTCCCATCCTGTGGTCCACCTGTCCTGTACCACAGTCCTTCTCTCCCAAGCCCTCTTGGATCAATCCATCCTGTCCCATCCTATTCCAAACTTGTCACCTTTGGTCCTGTGATCCCATCCCATGATACGTCTGTCCAATCCTAAATCCTGCTACCCTATTCTACGTCTTCCCTTCCCTTCCCTGTCAGTGAAGGCTGGGAGCATTTGTAGGTGATTTGTCCTGCCTTCTGCCATGACCAAGATGCCCATATCTGGGGGGTTGTCCCAGGATGGCTGCTCCCATGGGACCCAGCTGCTCAGGGGAGCAGCACTGAGGGGTGGGATGGTGGGACAGGAGAGGATGTCTTGGGGCATGCAGATGTCACCCTATCTCTTCTCTTCCCCCAGGAACATGACATTGAGACCTCCTATGGGCTGCTGCATGTGGTCATCCGGGGTTCACCCAAAGGGAATCGTCCAGCCATCCTGACATACCATGATGTGGGCCTCAACCGTGAGTGCTGGTCCCTGGGCCATGGGGCACAGGGGCAGGCAGGGGAGAGCCTGGGACTTCAAGGGGTGCCAGGACATTGGCCAAAGCCCCTGGCTCAGCTCCTTTCACTCTTCCCATGGAGGGTCCCTGGGCTGCATTAGGTCTCCCCAGGCATCTGAAAGCACCAGGAGGGTTTGGATGCTCAGCTGAACCTAAAGCCTGAGCCAAGCACAGCCAAGAGAGCTTAGCCACCCTGGAGCTGGCTGTCCACCCACCCATGATAGGCAGAGATGAGACATGGGGGATGCTGGGTCAGTCCCCATCACAGGAACTGGCATGTTGGTATTCAGAGCATGGGCCTGGCTGGCAGCAGGGTGTAGTGGGGGCTGGAGGAGTTGGGGAATTGCAGAGAAGGAGGGACCCCAAGCTGGGGCTCTGGATATGGGGATACTGTGCTGTTAGCCTGCAGCCTTGGACCTGCACACCAGACCCCTGCCCTGGGCTGTGCCCCCTGGCCCAGTCGGTATGCCTGGTGCCCTGTGAGCAGGGAGAAGTATCTTCCCTTCCACCGGTGGCTGAGGCTGAGTCACTGACATGCTACATGAGCGGCCTCAACTTCACGGCAGCGCTATCATGTCTAGGGATGCGTCATGTTGGTTGTGATGGACCTTACAACCTGCCTTGTCCCCACATTTTGGGAGAGATGTCCTGGTACCAATGCCATGAGGCAGGACCCCTCCAAGCCCTGGCAATGACTATATCCCACTGCAATGGTCGTGACCTGTCCACAGCAGTGCTGGAGCAGTTTATTTGACTGTTTCCAAGCAGTTAGATTTGCAGCTCTTTCTCAAGTCCCATGGTTGCTTGAGCCCTTTCTGGGGATCTTGGATGGGGCAGATAATACCCCTGGCTGCTAATCCTGCTGCCTTCTGAGTGGTCCTGCAGGTGGTCTTCGGTCTGGTGCTCCGGGCTTGCATCCCCCAGTCCTATCCCTCCAAGCAGACATGGCTCATCCCAAAATCCTCTTCCTCCTGGCTGTGTCTATCCATTCTAATGCCTCCCAACATCAGGAGGGATGCAGCCCTTACTAACAGTGACTGTGGTCTCTGCTGTGGGACAAGGAGCTTGGAGGGAAGGAGATAAGAGGGCTTAGGTGGCATGTCACCTCCCAGTTTAAGGGCAGTGGGAGGGCAGTTGATCTCTCTCCATGCTCCCCTGGCCCACCAGGCCCCCGTGATGGGGCATTTGGTCTCTGATCCCTGCCTGCTCCTTGACAGACAAGCTTTGCTTCAACACCTTCTTCAACTACGAGGACATGCAGGAGATTACAAAGCACTTTGTGGTGTGCCATGTGGATGCGCCGGGCCAGCAGGCAGGAGCCTCGCAGTTCCCTCAGGGGTAGGTGCCAGCTTCGGGGACTCACTATGCCTGCCAGGACGTCACCTCCCTGCCTGCTGGGTTGTCACCGCCTGGGCAGTCATACCCTGCCTACAGGTCTCACTGAACCTTGTCAAAGCCCAGTGGCAGCTGACTGGCCCAGGGTGGGCAATGGGGGTTGGTGGGTGGGTGGCACTTCCCTGGCCACTTCAGGCAGCCCAGCTGCCCAGTCCCAGCCTTCCTGCTCTGTGTGGGCCCCATAACCACTGTCCTGGCCCTCCCTGTGTCACAGGTACCAATATCCATCCATGGACCAGCTGGCTGCCATGTTACCCAGCGTGGTGCAGCATTTTGGGTGAGTCTGTCTTTCCTCCACAGCTGCCAGCTGAGGCTGCTGGGCAGGGAGATGGGCAGGAGGCAAGGGTTTGGAGCTGGGGGAGTTATGCCTGTAAGCTGGGATCCTGCATGTCTTTTTGTACCCCATGCTGCAGGTGGAGGGGGGCCCTGGGGAACACATGCTGAAGCCCACCGTCCCCCCATACACACCTCTGCTTTCCAGGTTCAAGTACGTGATCGGTATCGGTGTTGGGGCAGGAGCCTACGTGCTGGCCAAGTTTGCGGTGAGCCTGGGGCTGGGATGGGCTGGCCCTGAGTTGCTGTGAGCCTGGGGCAAGGGGAAGAACAGAAGCTGACAACCCTGGGCATGCTCCTGGAAGGACTGAGGGGCCAGGACAGCAGTGCCGTGGCCATGGTGGTTGGGCAGTCTTGCCACAGGTCTCCCATCACTCCCAGGACAGGGTCACATCAGCTCTGTGCAATGCCTGTGCAGTGGGCAGCGGTGCTGGTGGGGGGCTGCCCTGGGTGCATCTCCCCTTCCCACTGAGCATCACCTTTCTTGCTCACTGCAGCTTATCTTTCCTGACCTGGTTGAAGGATTGGTCCTCATGAACATTGACCCCAATGGCAAAGGCTGGATTGACTGGGCAGCTGCCAAGGTGGGCAGGGCCCTGACCCCCTCTTGATGCTGATGGCTCCCTGGGGCAGGAGCCAGCCACAGCAGTGCCGTAACTCCCTGTGCTCCCTCCACAGCTCTCTGGCCTCACCAGCACGCTGCCGGACACTGTCCTGTCTCACCTCTTCAGCCAGGTAAGCTCTGTGCATCCTGCTGGCCCCTGCCACTGCCCCCCTGCCCAGCATGCCATCCGGGTCACCTTTCCCAGCCTGCCAGGTGCCACAGTGTTGCTGGACCTGCTCCATGCCCAGGGAGGGGGTTTGTCAAGCCCTGCTTGTACCTCTCCTGTCCGATCCAGGGCTTAGCTTTGATGGGGGTGTGACTCATGCTCACATCCTGCCTGGATGTGCTGCCTGCAGCTTCACTGTGCCTAGCCACCTTGCCCAGCGTCCTCCCCCTGTGCCCTGCTGGCCAGCACAGCATGGGTAGGCCTGGGGGAGCAGGGGTGTCTGAGCGGCAGCCAGCAGTGCCTGCTCTGATCTCCTTCCCCTGCTGGCACAGGAAGAGCTGATGAACAACACAGAGCTGGTGCAGAGTTATCGGCAGCAGATCGGCAGCGTGGTGAACCAGTTCAATCTCCAGCTCTTCCTCAACATGTACAACAGGTAAGTATCATGGGCGGTCCTGTCTGCGCCAGGGCGAGGGGCTACAGTACTGGTGGGTGGCCCTGAGGGCACCATGGGAACCCTGACCCCTGTGGGGTGCTGCTATCACCCTCCAGCACAGGCAGGCAGTCTTGCAAGACTGGCCGCCGGTGTTGGCCAGAGATGCAGGAGTGGTGACACCTGTGCCAGAGCCTTGCCGCCTTCCAGAGCCCATGGCCATGGGTGCACATCCCCATGTCTCCTCCTGCACTGGGTGCTGGCACAGGCCTGGAGAAGGGGGTGGAGATGCTGTCCATTCTACGCAGGGGGTTGGGAGCCTCGCTACTCCTCTGGATGCTGCATCCCACAGTGCAGGCTCTGCTTGGGTCATGGCAGAGATGGCTGTGGGGTCCTCCATCCACAGGGTGCCAGGACAGTGGTCCTGGGTCCTGCTTCCCGAGCTTTTGCTCTTGTGCTGTGGCATTAGTGGCACCACCTGCCCATGGGCTCACACTGGTCCTCTTTCTCCTCCATCAGCCGCAGGGACCTAGACATCAACCGGCCTGGGACTGTGCCCAATGCCAAGACGCTGCGGTAAGAGTCGTGTCAGCATGGCATGGGAGGACCAGGGCAGTGGAGTCCACCCAGACCAAGCCCTGATTGTGCCCCTTCCCCCTTTTACTTCTAGCTGCCCTGTGATGCTAGTGGTTGGAGACAATGCACCTGCTGAAGAGGGGGTGGTGAGTGATGGGGTAGTGCCTGTGGGGTGGCACATGGGCAGGTGGAGCATGTTTGCTGCAGCTCATGTTTGCTGCCTGCTCAGACACGTGTGAGCTCCCACCTGGGGACTGTGCTCATATGCAAACCTACCTGCTCTTGTGGGCGCATGTGCACATGCATCTGTGCATGGTTGCCAGACCTGGAAAACCTTCTCTTCCCCGTACGTCCAGACATGCTCACAACATGCACACTTGGATAGGTTGGCACCCAGGCACACTCCCTTCTTGGCTACATGGACCCAAACAGCTGCTAGAACATGGCATGTCCTTGCACACATCCGTAGGGTTGTCCACACTTGCACAGTCAGCCACAGATAGTGTGCATGTGGCCACATGATGTGTTAACTGCATGCACACACTCCCTCTTCCAGCACGTGTAGCTCTATGCACATGAGCACACTTGTGTGCTTGCATACACATGTGTGATGCACAGGATACCTCACCATCCTCCCTCCTTCTCTCCCTTTCCAGCCCACACCCTAGCCCAGACACTGTCTGGCAGAAGGAAGGTCCCGCCTGTCCCATGGCAAAGGGATGGGGGTTCTGCAGGCTCAGGGCTGGCCTAGAGCCCTGTCTCCACCTGGCTGGGGTGGGATGTGCCAGCTGGGTGCCATGGGCCAGTGGTGGTACCTGTGGCCAACTTCTGTCAGGCGCAGGGGGCTAATATCATCCCTCTTGCCTGCAGGTGGAGTGTAACTCCAAGCTGGATCCTACCAACACCACATTCCTGAAGGTAGGCAAGTGGCAGGGGCAGCCAGGCGGTGCCTTCTGCCCATGAAGTGCCCCTTTGCCCTCTGCCCCAGGGTTGCAGGATGTCCCCATTCCAGGTCCATCTTGACCACGGGGCTGGGGAAGGGTGGGAAGAGCAGGGTGGCCCCAGCAGTGGCATACCCCAGCCAGCAGGTACTGGGGGACACAGGCTGGAGACCTCATTGCCCTCTACAACTACCTGAAAGGAGGTTGTAGAGAGGCGGGGGTTGGCCTCTTCTCCCAAAGGAATGATGACAGGACCAGAGGTAATGATATGAAGCTGCAGCAGGGGAGATTCAGACTAGATATTAGGAAGAATTACTTTACTGAAAGAGTGGTCAGGCACTGGAACAGCCTGCCCAGGGAGGTGGTGGAGTCACCATCCCTGGAGGTATTTAAGAAACGGGTAGACGTGGCTCTTCAGGGCATGCTCTAGTGCACGAGATTATTGGTTTGTGGAGGGGTTTAGTTGGTGGGTGGTGGTTTTGGGTTTGTTGTTCTTGTGGTGGTTGTGGTGGTTTTTTTGTTTGTTTTTTTGTTTGTTTGGTTTTTTTGTTTTGTTTTGGTTTTTTTTTTTTGTGGTTGGACTCGATGATCTCGGAGGTCCCTTCCAACCACTAAGATTCTGTGATTCTCCTAAGAACAGTTCTCTCATTCATGCTTTGCAGATGGCTGACTCCGGTGGGCTGCCCCAGGTCACACAGGTGAGCCCCGGCAATTTCCCCAGTTAACTGGGCACTGGCTAGCAGGGGATGGGCTGAAGTGGGAACAGGGATCTTTGCACAGGGGCTGCCAGAGGCAGCTCAGGGCTGAGCTGGGGTCTTGGCCGCAGTGCTGTCTCAACTCAGCGTGCTCTCTTCTCACAGCCCGGCAAGCTGACCGAAGCCTTCAAGTACTTCCTGCAAGGCATGGGCTACAGTGAGTGCCAGGGCTGGGCACGGGGCTGGCGTGTGCCTCTGTGTGCACATGTGTGTGTTCCTGTGTGCGTGTGCTGACCCTGCTACAGGAGAGGAGCCTGCCCCAACCCCCCCCCCCCCCGCCCTTGTGCCCAACATGGTGGGAAGCTGCACCAATGTCTAGAGTGCTGTATCTGCGAATGTACAAGATGCCTACCCATGAGTTCATAGAGCCATGGGGTGTACAGGCTCTGTGTGCACACAGGTGTGTGTACAAGGCCTCTGTGTGTGGCCAAGGTCTCTGTGCACAAGTCTGTGGGCATGTGTGTGTATGGGCCTGCCCCACCCCCCCCCCCCGCCAGCCCTTGTGCCCAACATGGTGGGAAGCTGCACCAATGTCTAGAGTGCTGTATCTGCGAATGTACAAGATGCCTACCCATGAGTTCATAGAGCCATGGGGTGTACAGGCTCTGTGTGCACACAGGTGTGTGTACAAGGCCTCTGTGTGTGGCCAAGGTCTCTGTGCACAAGTCTGTGGGCATGTGTGTGTATGGGTCCATGAGCACATGAGTGTGTGTGTGTGTGTGTGCGCAGGTCTGTGTGCACACCTCGGTGTGCATGCGTGTGAAGGTCCATGTACACACGTGTGTGTGTTTGCAGGCCCATGTGCATATGCACATGTGTCTGTGTGTGTGCAGGTCTGTGTGCACACGTGCAGGTCTGTGTGCGTGCACACGTGGGGCTGGGTGGGGGCTCCTGGTCCTGCGGAGTGGCCAGCACGGTTGATGCTCTCTCTCTACCCTCCCTGCCCTTCTCCCACTCCACCCCTGCCAGTCACCCACCTGAAGGATCGGAGGTTGAGCGGAGGCACAGGTACCACTCGGTGCTTCTCGGCCCGTGCCCACTGCTGCATGGTGCCTGCCTCGTCTCTGTGCCCTTGAGCTGCCTGGGCACCTTTGGGAGCAGCCTGGGTGTGGGGCTGGCCCTTCCCAGCCAGGTGCCCTCTGCCTCGCTCTGCTTTCCCTGAGATGGCACCCTGAGCCAGGGCAGGGGCTGAGAAATGGCAGCTTTGGAAGTTTCCCCCCCCCCATGCAGGCACAGTCTCGGTGGTGTGCCCACTGTGCCCTCCTCCACCAGGCCAGGAGCTGTGCCCACAGGGTATCCTGGCTGGAGTAGTGTGTCACCTTCCCTGCATACCCTGGGGAGCTGGGAGAGCTCCCATCCCTGCTCACTCTTTCCCCAGTGTGGTGTCCAGGGGGTCCCCACTGCCCCGTGCCCAGCGGTCGCATCCCTGGGAGAAGTGCCTGCTGTGCAGCCTGCCCCAGGGTGCCCTGTGCCTGCCCCGCTGTGCCCTGCCAGGCTGGAACATGTTGTCATAGCACTGCATGCTGCAAGCTTATGCCCAGGGTCATTCACACCTGGGAGCAGGACCGGCGGCTTTGCTTGCATGAAGCAATGTCAGCCCAGATCCTCTTGGCTTTTGGAGGGAGCTGAGCATCTCTCTCTGCCCGTGCAGTGCCATCTGCCAGCATGACTCGCCTGGCACGCTCCCGCACGGCCTCCCTCACCAGCGCCAGCTCAGTGGATGGCACCCGTCCACGTGCCTGCACCCACTCAGAGAGCGCCGAGGCCATGGGGCAGATCAACCACACCATGGAGGTATCGTGCTGAAGTCCACGCCCACCGCCGACGTCTCCTCCAGAGCCATCTCACATCCGTCAGCATCCCGCCAGCACTCACCCGCCTCATGGATGTCCTCCACCAGGACCCTCGTTCCTTCAGGGTTGATTTGTCCTCTTTGCTGTTGGCCTCATCCCCTTGTCTGGTACCGGAGAAGGAGAGGGGCTTGCTTCACTGCCTTCTGGCATCAGCTCCTGGCTTTGCCCTGCAGTCACACATGGTTCTGCATTGGTCCTCTCCCTCCCTAGCATTGGCTTGGCCCTGGCTTGGGAGGGTGGGTGGCAGGGGGACAGGGCCAGAATGGGGGGGCAGGATGGTGGGATGGGGACAGCATGGTGGGATGGGGCAGGGCAGCAGGCTGTGGACAGAACAGCAGGACGTGGAGAAGATGCAGGAAGTAGGTTGGTCTCCCAAGGTCAACAAAGGCTGGCCAAGCCAGACCAAAGATAGGGACAGGGAGCAGCACTCACTGGGAGGTCACTGGGTCCTTCCTGGGGATGCAGCTCCCATTTCTCCTAGCCAGTCCTCCCTAGGGAGAGCTAGCATGGGATTCCCTGCACACCCAGGACCTGCTGCCCTGGAGCTGGCTGAGCATTGTGAGAAATCGCACCCAAAACTGTCCCCTCACCCCAGTCATGTAACCTGAGGGCTGCCCCGGGGCAAGGGGAGAGGGCTCAGCCCTGCTGCAGGAGCCATTGAGGCAGGAGGGTGGAATGGGGGGGTCTCACTGCTCCTGCCCATGCCCTTGCCCGTGGTGGCTCTTCTTTGGTCCCTTTTTGCAAGAAGGACAATCAGCACCTGCCACCAAAAACACACCACGGGGAAGGGGGCTGTGTGCCATGGCTTATTTAGTCCCTGCCACACCGGTGGTTTCACTCCCAGCTCTTGGGCTGAGGCTGCCAGGCTCAGAGGCCACTGGATTTGGGTATGTTGCATGGCAGGTCCCCCCTCCGTTTTTGCCACAGCCTGTGGGTGTCACCATAGTGGAGCCATTAGCAATAAGATGAGACACTCCCCACCCCACCGCAATGCTGGGGATCCCTCAGCACCCTCTGCCCCACAGGGTGCATCATGCAACATGCTGGCAGTGTGGGGTGGCCCATGGGATGTGGGGAGCACCACAGTATCTGGCTTTGCCCACAGACCTGGTCAGACCCACTGTGGCCCCCCAAATTCACACTCCCATGCCCAGCATCTCGCCTGCACACTGAGCGGGCTATCTCTCAAGGGCTTGGCTCCCCCCGAGCCATGGGGCCCCTCTGGCCACCAGCTCTGGCTGAATCCAACATGGAGAGCCACTTCATCATGTAACCCCACCATCAGCCACCCAGCCTCTGCTGGCATCCCTGGCCCACCCCATGGGCAGCAGAGCCCAGCTTCTCCTGCACCCAGGGTAAGTGAGCCCCAGGCTCTGGCAATGGGTGTTCAGGTCTTTGCGAGTGGTCCATGGGGAACCTGAACAGGGATCTGTAGGGGACCCATCAGGTGACACCATCTAGGCGAGCAGAACCAGCCTGATGGAGGCATGTCCCACCTAGCCCCCCAAAAGCACTTGCCCCGCAGACCCCATCCCTGCTCCCTAGCGAGGGGCACAGGGGTCCCAGGGCTCCCAGTGGATGTACAAGGGCTTTTGGCCCTGACACCTGTACCCTGCCCAGCCTCTCCCGAAACACCAGTGTCCCCCTCTTTGTTCTGCTGTGTGCTTCCTTCCCAGTGTAACTTTCAAAGCTATGTAGCTCCTTTTTACTGTAGATACCGCTGTGATCTCTTGTTTTCTCAGCGTGTCCTTCCAGATGATATATATAAATACCTATACATAATATATGTAAGAGTTTGTCCAGTCCCTGACTTTTTTGGGTTCATTTCTTCTTGCATTCTTGTCCAAGCGGTGCCATGTGGTTCCCCTGGAGGTGGTCTGGCTGTGCTTGCTTTTGGACCCTAACCTTGTTTTTGTTGGTGGGTTTGGTTTTCCCTGATGGTTTGTTCTTTTGATTTGTGTTGCTTTCCTTTCTTCTCGGTCACAGCAGAATTTAATGCATTTTCCTGTCTGAGCGCAACCTGATTTTGTCATAGCGGCGTCAAGGCTGCAGCAGTCATGAGATGGCAATATGTAAACTGGATTTAACTAACCTGTTGTTGTAGAGAGAATTTACTGTGTTGGAAAAAAACAACAAACTAATAAAGTGTTAAGAACCTGCTGTGTTCTCTTCAGCATGCTGCAGGGAAATGGGTCTGAGCCCATCCTGGGCCTGCCTGCAGAGATCTGGTGGGCAGAGAGGACAAGGGTGACATCTTGGCCATCAACCACACCAAGTGCTGCAGTGTTGGGAGAAGTGGACCAGGGTGCCCGTGGAGGAGAGCCCATGACCCCAGGGGGCACATGGAGGGGAGCCCTGGGGTGCTTTGGCTTCAGGGCAGCCATAGGCAGATTCTCCCATATGTTGGAAGTGGATGGAGACTGGAAAGCTGCCGGTTGTGGTCCCATGAGGTTCAATACAAGGGATGCCTACTGGGGAAGGAAACACCCATGGCTGCATAACTCTGAGGATGAGAAGGGTCCTCGGGAGTTCCAGCTTCCCTGTCTTCCAGGCCTGCAGGCTCTTTGTCTTGTTCATCAAGGTCTGAATGTCCCAGGCCACGGCCCCTTCCAAGTGCATGAAGCCTGTGCCTGTGAAGGATCCCCTCCCTGCATCCTAGGCTTCATCCCTGCTCCAGTGTGTTGGTGTCTGCCTCATACTGGAGCACTCCAGACTGGTACCAGGCCCTGAAGAGGATCCCAGAGCCAGGACATGGAGGGAGAGTGACCGTGTGGTTCACATGCACTGTTGCCTGGCATGGGTGGAGAGGAGCCTGGATATTTGGGGAGGGAATGCAAACCACCAAGACTGTGCTGAGATGTGGGCAGGCAGCCTGAGAGCCTTTCTTGGCTGGTTTGGCTGGAGGGGTCTACTGGTCTCCCTGCCTTCAGTTCTTCATCTATCCTACACCAGCCTTGAGGCTTTTCTCTTGCTGGCCCCTCTCTCCTTCTGCTTTGGTTTTGGGGGCCTCCTTCCTGCCCTTTCTCTTTCCAGTGTGACAGAGGAGCCAACAAAGAGAGATGCTCTGTTGGACCTCACCCTCGCCAACCAGGAGGGGCTCACTGGTGATGGCAAGATCAAAGGCAGCCTTGGATGCAACCACCAGTGGCACGGTGGAGCTCAGGAACCTCAAAGCAGGGAGGAGGGTGAAAATCAAGTTCACAACCCTGGACTTGTAGAGAACAGACTCTGGCCTCTTCACAGATCTGCTTGGAAGGCCCTGGAGGGAAGAGGGGGCCCAAGAGAGCTGCTTCATACTCAAGGATTATATCCTTCAAGCTCAAGAGAGCTCTAGCCCGATGACGAGGAAGCTAGGCAAAATGCCAGCAGGCCTGTATGGATGAAGCTCCTGGCCAAACTCAAACACAAAAGGAAGCACAAGAGGGTGGAAGCAAGGATGGGTAACCTGGGAGGAATACAAACTCCTTGTTTGAGTATCTAGGAATGAAGTTAGGAGAGCTAAAGTCCAAATGGAATTGAATCTGGCCAGGAATGTCAAAGACATAGTCTTCTCTAATACCTTGGAGACAAAAGGCAGACTGGGGAAAATGTGGCCCATTGCATTCCTCTGGGCATCCACTGACTTGTCTTTCCTTTTCTTTCTAGGATCTTGAGGTGTGAATAATCCAAACAATAATCTAAACAGTGTCCTCAAGATGTCTTTGTCTAAAGGAGACCTTGGGCTCCTCTTACAGTCAGAGTAAAGAAATGCACCCCTCTGGCTCCAGTTACTTGTTCTGAAGTAGATGTCCAGAACAGAGACTGCAAAGCTACAATTCATGCAGCCTTTTTCTCAGTGCCAACAGGAAGAGACTCTTGGATGACTTACTCAGATCTCTTTATTTTTATTTTTCTGAAGCAGTAGGAAATGAATCCCACCTTGGATGTCTGTTCCCTGCTCCTCCCGACACATGCTTCTGACGCCCCTGCTGTTTTTTCCCCTTCTAGTCAGTCTCTTCAACACCAGCTCAAAAAGCCCCTGCATTTTCAAAAAATTAGATGGTTATTTTCTTCTGAAGTGTCACAAATATTTGGGGATTTTAAGAAGTCACTTATTTGAATGCATTGAAAGAATTAATTTTGCTAGATACTGTGTAAGTCTAATCAAATCTCTTAAACACATACTTAATTTGTAGGCATCTGATTAAGGCCTAGTTATCAAACAGCGCTGGAGTACTGCATCCAGCTCTGGGGTCCCCAGTACATGAAAGACGTGCACCTGTCTTTCCAAAAGATGGTCCAGAGGAGGGCCACAAGAATGGTCAGAGGGCTGGAACACCTCTTTAATGGAGAAAGGCCGAGTTGGGGGTGTTCAGCCTGGACAAGAGAAGGCACTGGGGAGACCTTATTGCAACCTTTCAATATCTAAAGGGGGCTTATGAGAAAGATTGAGAAAGACTATTTACAAAGGCCTGTAGTGACAGGAGAAGGGACAATGGTTTTAAACTGAAAGAAGGTAGGTTTAGATTGGACATAAGGAAGACATTTTTCACTATTATTATTGGGACACTAGAACAGGTTGCTCAGAGAAGTTGTGGATTTGCTGCCATTGGAAATGTTCAAAGTCAAGTTGGACAGGGCTTTGAGCAATCTGATGTAGTGAAAGATGTTCCTGTACATGAAAGGACGCGGGGTGAACTAGATGATCTTTAAAGGTCCCTTCCAAACATTTATGATAAAACATAAACATGGACAGCCAAATCCCCTTCCTCCTCTTTGGCCGGTGGAGACAGGAGGTCACTAGTGGAGGCACACACACAGCAGGTTCACATACACACACATCCCCAGATCCCTCAAGTACTGGCATGGCACCCCTGTCCACCTGGCACCTCTGCCCAAATTCTGCCCCGTTTGCCCCCTCCATGGGTCCCCTACTCACTGGCTGGTCCAGCTTGATGCTCACTGCATATATGCACTCCACTCCCAAGTGCTTCTGTGCGTACCACCACCCCCCACACCTATCTGATACTTCACCCTGCTTCCAATGCTCCCCTGCTCTCCAGCTGGTCCAGCTTAAAGTTTGCTGGTGAATGCATGTGCATACCCTGTACACATCAAGACAGGGGAAGCTACAGGTGCTCGTCCCACCCAGCAAATGGCACAAGGTGTATGGGCTGTGACCCACAGTCCTGCTCCAGCCACCAGCACTGAGCCCCTCACTTGCCCCCCTCACTTTGGTCTCTCCCAATAGCTGGTTTTGGGGACACATACCATTTCTGCCCCAGTAGCTGGAAGCTAAAGACCCCCACTTGCTCCAGCAGCTGAGGCTGAGATGCCACTGGCTACAGCAGCTGACACCAATTTTCACTGGCTACAGCAGCTGACACCAATTTTCACTGACTCACACACAGGTGTCACCAGTAGGTGGCATTCAGTCCTTAACAGTACACACACACAATACAGAGGGTGACAATATGCGGAGAGATAGTTAAGAAAGATGCAATAAAAAGGTACAAGGTAATAGGACAGTCTGCAGTTATCAGGTGTAGGGCTCAGGCAGACAAACACACTGGCTGATAGTGTCTTACACATGACCATCCCTGTGTATCCCTTTTCTGTCTACCCTGCCCCTCAACTCCCCTTCCCTTGTATGTCTCTTCACTGATTTGTATGGTTCTGTTAATTCCCTCATCCGTCCCAGTCCAGTGTCCTGGATCTCTAATCAGTTGCCATGTCCTGGTTGGTCTTCCAAGGAGTGGCACCTGTAATTGCTTTATGGCTGTTGTGGTTTAACCATGTTTTTGCAAAGGAAAACAAGGAATTCATTCCCTATTTCCCAATAGCATGAAGATGTTCAGCCCTCTCCAGGAAAGCAGGGCTCCATCATGCGTAACAGTGACTTGGGAAGACAAACGCAATAACTCTGGACATCTCTGCTGTGGCAATGGGACACAGCTGAGACCAATTGGTCTGCCCGTGTATTGCCGGATGTCAGGAATCCAAGTAAAGTGGTATGGCTTTTAATATGTAAAACATAATATGGTTGCGACCTTTTTTGAATTGTCAGCCATAATAGCTTTGCTATTTTATGGATGATTGCTCCGCCGAAGAAAAAAATAAATAACCTTTCAAATAAAAGTACAAAACTGTCTTAAAAAGTGATACTACAATTTGTCAAAAAATGTTGATTAAGAAAAGTCACAAAATTATTTTGAAAGTCTGACTGTATTTATTCACCAATTTGGGGAATGGTTCAAAGATAAATCTCACCATACATATCAACCTATACTGGTTCAAGTCAGTCCCTCATCAAACGTTGCTAATTGCCTACTCTCTAGGTTGTGTACCTTAAATTTCAGTTGTTTTTTATTTAATTAGACCAGCAGTGGGAAATTAATCCTGTAACTGGAATTCCACTGATGAAAAATTTACATTCCTTGCCATTCCCATAAAGTTCGGCGTGGTGGACCATTCAAGCATACTACTCCAGATTTCAATTCCTGGGTTTATTCATGGGAACAGACAGCATGAAATTAAAGTGTTAGAGATGATCATAACCTCTGAAGTCTGCATTTTGCAGATTTCATGTGCACTTAAGTCTGAAAACGTTGGCCCCGTTTGGTACTTAGCGCCTTGTTGACAATTGTGCCTTTAGAATTTTCCTTCAGGGTGAACAATTTAAATATGTCCTCTGGTAAATAGAAAAAATACAGAAAACTTCACTCAGCTTCAGATAACTTGTTTCAGGCAAAGCCTTGCTCTTAACTAATTTGAAATTTTGCTGTTTGTAAAGAATATTTCTCAGTGACATGTAACTGTAAGGAAAATCTGCCAGATTAAGACTACAGTCTTAATAAATGTAGTCTTAATGTTATTAAGATAATATACAAGTTTGATCTTCAAGTTAAATATTTATAATTATATTATAGACATATTTTTAACTCTATTTTTAATTTCCAGGTTATAGTAATATCCACTCTCTCTGACTGTGTTAGCAGGTAAGTGTGAAACCTGGATCTTCAGCATTACATTACTCCAGCAATGTTATTGACTTAAGTCAATTAAAGTGAAACTTTACTTAACACCTTTTTTAGATCTCAGGGATACTAAAGGGAGGTCATCCTCCCTCTTTACTCTGCCCTAGTGAGGCCACATCTGGAGTACCGTGCCCAGTCCTGGGCTCCACAGTTCCAGGAAACTACTGCAAAGAGTCCAGCAGAAGGCTACAAAGGTGATCAAGGCAATGGAACACTTCTCTGATGAGGAAAGGCTGAGAGACCTGGGTCCGGTCTAGCCCGGAGAAGAGCAGACTGAGAGGATCTTATCAATGATTATAAATATCTAGAAGGCAAGTGTCAAGAGGATGGCGTCAAACTCTTCTTCTGGTTTCTCTTCTCACCTGGTGCCTGGTGACGGGACAAGGGGTGTCCTGGGTCTGGCGGGGATGGGGTTAATTCTCCCCAGGCCCTAGCAGGGACACAGGTATTCCATCCCACTGGAGCCATGCCCAAGGGGGAGCTGGAGCTGCCGGGGAAGGGGGGGGAGAGGAAGTCCGGGGGGGGGGGAGGAGGAGGTGACCCCGCGGGGGAGGAGAGCGGTTGGGGGCGTCCAGGGTGCGCTCGGCGAGTGGCGGTATCGTAATTGCAGTTGTATATCCCCTTAGAGAGCCCTGCGGACCCCTATAATGCCCTATATTCCTCTTCAGCCCTCTGCAACTGCCTATAGCCCCCTAGAGACTTGGCACCCAGCAGCCCCTAAAAGCCCCTGCTGCCCCTTACAGAGCCCTAAAGATACCTAGAGACCCCTACAGATCCCTGACGGCCCCTACAAACCCTTACAGCCCCGTACAGCCCTCTAAAGCCCCCTAGAACCCCCTACAGGCCCCTGATGCCCCCTGCAGACTCTTAGAGACCACTAAGAAACCCTGCAGACCCCTACGAACACCTAGAGATCCCTAGAGAACCCTAAGAACCCCTGCAGACCCCTACTGCATGCTGTGGATCCCTACGGACCCCTATATGCCTCTACAAATCCCTGCAGCCCCCTGGCGCACCCT